GACTATGCGGTCCCGATAAAATGGCAATTACACTTGACTATAAACATAGCGTAAATTACGTTTCAAACCATGATATTGAGTACAGTATATGTAAAAGAAATGTTTAACTCATTTGCTATGGTTCCTTTCTTTTAACGGTTTATTTGTTCTCTGCATAGAATAATGGAGTGTAATGGAAGCTGAAACAGATTAGAAGAGTAATTTCCATGTCAGTATGCTTGTGCTTACCTCCTTCCTTTGAAAATGGGCTGTTTATTCAGTGAACTCTGTTCTTCAATTATTTCTCAAGCTTCTGGGCAAACCTTCTCCAAACGAAACCTCAAAGTTTGCTCATTCTACATGATTGTCTGCTTTTTCAAATAGTGAAGTATTTCTTGGATGGAAGCATATTTTCAGGGAAACATTAAACTGGAAACAGGAAAGAACAATTTAATAAATGGAGAATTTTCAATGGATTTCTATGTAACAGAATTCCGAGGGGATTATTATTGAATTTGGGTTCCTAATGACCTCTGAGTTCCCTTTCTCCTATTTCTATGCGCTATTTCATCATTGAGTTTTCTTAATGGAACAATTGTAGACACTGTGTTGTGCAATCCTAGGGTGGAGGTGCCATTGTCTGTGTATCCCCAGACTTTCTGTGCGAAACACGCGATCATTGTTCAAGGTGGTGTTGAGGAAGTGCAACTCGGGCAAGAGCAGGTCATTGCTTGTTCCATGTTCTCAGCAAAGTTTAAATGGGAAGGAGTCTGGACACTTGATATAAATGTATATAAATCAGTGTGTGTGTGTGTGCACGCGCGCGTGTGTAATTTATAAATGATATAAATATAGGGAGTAGGACTAGGACTGACATTTGTTGAATACCTAATATGTGCCAGTGGTAGGCTGGTATGTACATTGTACACATTCTACTTTTCAGTGTTCCTAGGCTCCCCTCCCCCTGTCAAAAAATTATTTTATTAGACCAGTTTAATAAAGAGGAAGGAGGGGGCATGTAAAAACTAAAGCACTCGCCCCAAGTCCCATTACTCCCAACTGTTAAAGTTAGTATTCATTCTGTCTGGTGTTCGTGCCTGGGTCTTTTGCGGGACGGCAGCGAGCCTGCCCAGGTGGAGAGGAGCATGTCATTCATTGTGGGAGGTCCCGACGTTCTGGGTGTAGAAGTGTTCTCAGCATTTTCTGGTCGTCATCTGGATGGCCTGATAAGTCAGAGGAGGGGTGGAACTGTGTGGGTGGGTTTTTGTCTCAAGGAAGAGAGGTAATGTTACCAGGTAGGTGTGTCATTATAAAATATTTCCAGGTAATAATCTGCATTGAAAGGTTTTTTATGTTTTTAAAAACATTCATCAGATCTTTGCTATAATGGTCTTGTGTCAGTAAATCTCATGGAAATTGGATTACTTATTATAAAAAAAACACATTCTCTATGGACTTTACCTACCCTAATTGAAGTAATGTCTATGAAGAGTTTCAACATACTTAAGAATGATCGCTCTTTAATCTGTAATTGTGAGTCATGAAATTATATGTTCTTTTATGTAGGTGTTACTTAGAACATTGTTTTCTGTACTCGAAAATTATTCTTTCCTGTTTATTGGGAGAGGTATATCTAAAATCAGATATTCTTATAGACATGAATTACTGTCTACCTATGGCCTATACTAAAAAAATATATGAACACTAGTTTGTTTCTCTTAGAGGATGATGTGTGTGTCTTTTCTCAGCAGTAAGATGTCTCATGCTGTACAAATTCAGAAAAGATAAGATATGGTGGTGTCACCTGTCACCTAGCAACAAGCCTAGTGCTTTGGGCCTTTTCTTTTTAAGTCAAAATAGGTATGAAAACATGGTACTTAGAAGATTTGCATTTATCTCCAGAAATATTTAGATTAACCTTCAAATATCTTTAGTTCCCAAGAGAACTCACCAGGACAGATAAACAGAAATACCTTTACATGAAAAATGGCAACTTATGTATCAGAGACCTTGATACAGAGCAAGGCCAACATGGATCTGTTACAGAATATCTCAGACTTAAGTGCCTGTTGAATTCCCTAATCGGCTTTGAAAATTATGGTAACTGAAATGAATGTGTATATAAAACCTTATTATTTGACTTTTTAAAAATCAGTGTTTGAAAACACCAGTTCACAGTTAATGAAGCAGTGATTTGTAAAGCTGAATCTAGAAGACAGCATTCTGAATGGAGTTGCTGTATCAGCACCAGAATTCAATTTACTCGAAACAGAGCAACTAAATTACCTTTGTGCAGAGAGTGGAATACCCTGACCAGTCAGATGTCTATAAACATGTTTCTCCTTCTCTATTTAAAGATACATAAAAGGATTCTCAGAGGAACTAGCAACTAGTGAACTTATGGGTCCTGAAGTATTTAGAATGTATTAAATACGAACCTTTAAAGATTGAGAACATAATAGATCATTTAAGATGTGATGAAGAGCCAGCACCCTGTTACTACAGGGTAATATAATGCCTACACTCTGAGATAATTATTCCAAAGTAACTCTTTATTCATTAAGGTGGGGAGCATTCACTTTCATTCTGCCCAAGGTCATTTCTGTTGTCCAGGGAACTCTTTAAATTCTAAAGGAAGCTGGCTGAACACATGTGGCAATTTTACAGGCAAAAAACAAGTTAGAAAGTGAAGAATTTAGAAAATCATTCTCTATTGCTTGTAACTGTTAAAGAGAAACAGATATAACTAGAATTTCTCCAGACTCTCCACTAAAACAGAAGTATTTATCTAGGCAGCATTATTTTTGTTTAAAAGTACATCTAAAATTCTTTCCAGAATGTAATAATTTATGCTTTTCCATATTTGTCATGTGTTTCATATAGCTATAAGTGACCAACCTTTGCTTTTCTTCACCTGACAATTGAGAACTATTTTGAAGCCAGGAAAGGGAGGACCCAAACCATTTGCGATGAGTTTTTGATGAGGACAGTGACCTTCAAAACTTCTGTGCTTTGGGAAAATTTACTGGATAATTTCACAAGCCTATTTAGCAGAGCTAAGTAATCCTTTAATTAGGAAATTGATGATATATTAACTGTTATGGGAAATGTGCCATTTTGTTATTTTATATCATGGCATGCGTGCCTTTGATGTGGATTTGGGGAATGACACAGAGAAGCCCTTAGCATGAATGAAATGAGAGATCTGTCTGTTTTGTCTTGTGGTCTTAATTTAGGGAAATCTTAGTTTTGTTCCTGTGTAACACCCAGGCTGTTGATTAAAGAGTAATTGTTCTTGCATGTGTGAGAGCCCAGCTTGCTGTATAGATTTTACTTCAATTAGGGTAGGTGGGTAGATAAAACAGGTATTATTATTATCCCTGCTGCTGTGGAGAAGGAAGCTGAGCCTCAGAGAGATTGAATGAGTTGCTTAAGGTCACACAGCCAGTGGGTGACAGACGTGAGACGAGGGCTGGTCCTCTTACCTGTGAACTGGGTCTTCATTTCCTGTCATTGGTGCTACTGAAAGTATAGGGGTGCAGGATGGGAGCAGGGGCAGAGGAGTCTTCAGTGCCCTCTGGGGCACTGGAAGTAAACAGAAAACAATAGTGAGCATTGTGCCAGGCTTTCCCCAGGTTTAAAGCACGCAGAGTGTGCATTTAAATTAAACCGCAAAGGGCCATGCACTGAGATGTGGGACTAGGGGGGTTATAAGGACCTTGTTACCTGGAATACAAAATTAACCTCTGAGCATCATTGTCAGATGGCTGTTAAAACAGTGCATGTGCTCAACTCATGGAACTGCTTTTAGAATAAATAGTATTAGGTTACTTTGCAAGTCCCCAAATGCTGTGAAAATGTATGATAGTGTGTTATGTACAGTTTATATAATACAGTGTGTATTTTAGTCTGCAGATTAATGTTGAAAAAATAAAGACAAATTATATCATTAAGACTCTAGTTACTTGGATAAGAAATATCCACACTTAATATAAGGAGGAGTTTTCTTTATTTGGTTTTTCTGTCATTTTCATCATTAGCTGTACTCTTTCGACAAATACTGTACTCATTGACCTCCCAAAGGTCGTTAAGTCCTGTGCTGTGCATTGGGAACGGAGCGTGGAATGGCACTGTGTTCACAGTGTGTGTTTCTTCGCCTGGGGGAGTGTACATTGGTATAGCCTGCTGAGAAAGCCATGTGGTGATATATTTTGACACCCTGAAAAAAATTCATATTATTTTGAGCCACTAATTATACAATTAAATTCTAAGGGAATAGTGGCGCAGACCAGAGCAGCTAAGTGCAGAGTGTAGATGACTGGCTGGGGTGAGTGGTGGTGGCAGTCTGCACTGGGCTCCGGTCCCCAGTCCCCACCAACTGATTAGAGTCTTTCCAGAGAGGGCATCCTTTCTAGTTGCACCAGAGGGCCATCCAGGCTAGCAGAGGCCTGGTGTATAGAAGATTTACGTACAAGGATGTTTAGTAGTTGTCAGTAATAGCAACAAATCATAACTTATTAGACATTGGAGTATTATGTATCCCTACGATGGAGTACTATAAATTTTGGATTAAGCATTCATACATTGACCCAGGGGACAATGCTCATGGTATATTAAGATGTGAAAAATAAATTACACAACCACATATTGAGATATAAGCAACTAGAATGTAAGATTGAAGGTAGTTTTGAAGAACTGCGTATATTCTGCTAAGACGTTGGTTTAGATATATTTTGAAGACCAGAAAGGACAATATGAGTTTGATAAAAACATGGTAGTATAAATGACTTAAATTCTTTCACGGGATTCCATAGTATGGCTTCATAAATGTAAAATAGAAGAATTATACTCTAAATTCCAATAGAATATTTCTAGTTTGCCACTACAGATTCTAGTGTTACGTTATATTGTATTGCTTTTTAGTGGCATTTCCAGTAGTAGTAAAAGCTGTAGGATGCATTGGGAGGTGTGTTTTGAGACATATATAAGAAAGAAACAGACAGAGCCTGGAATACAATCAAAGCCAGTTCCCCTTACAGACCAAACCCATGGAACTTGTGAATTCTGCTATGTTGCCTTCGGGGCCTTGTGAGTGAGTGAGCTCTTTCTTTTTTGTTGTTGTTCAAATGTATGAAAACACATGCGAAGGAAGCCTGGCCCAGTGCTGCAGTCGGACATTGGCACAGAATGTCTGCGGACTCCAGGCGTGTCCCCTCTTGAATGTAATTCCAAGTGAAAAAAAGAAAAAGAAAAAGTCAGCTGCATCTAATAAGCTGGCTTCAGTGAATGCCAAAGAAAATTTGCCTCATGAAATGGAAATTCTGAAGCAAGTTACATAATGCTGAGAAGAAGAAAAAAAAAAAACGAATAGGAGAACTTTCAAGATATATCCAAATGGAGCAAATGGTCCATTTTACTCAGAACTCTCCAATCCAGCAATATGTAATTATATTTGGGAAGATCCAAATGGTGCTGGGAATTTGGAAGCTTTTGACCATATAAATATTTACTTTATATTTGTTTAATTTTTAAGAGGTGACATTGACTAGCTTAGATCAGTTTTTTAAAAGTTACTTAATTAAAAAGTTATATACTTGGTATTGGCCAACAGAGAGCCACCAAAAAGTATCAGCTTAATTATTCTGCACAGTTGTATCAGCTGTAAAGAGAAAACAGCAACAACATTTCCTCTGGAAATAGCACGACTCAAAATCTCCTAGTTGCTCGGAATAACGGAGCCCTTCCGCTGGAGTGTTGTGAGTTCCGGATGTAGTACATTTACTTTTGAACCACTTTCTGCCATTTTCTCCTCAGGCTTCTCTCTCCATTGCATCCCTTTCTCTTTCATTCTTCCTTCCCTGGTCCTTGTCCAGATGTTCATTATCTCGTGTCGGGGATCCGTCTCAGTGTCGTAGCCAGTGGGCTGCCGCTCTTCCCTTATTTCTCCAGTGTGCCCGGTGTGTGGCTGCTAAAGATCAAGCAGAAAACAAGCAATGAAAGAGAAAATATTCCTCAGCTATTATGTCTATGCCATTTTGATAATTAAGAATTTAAAGGATGGCAGAATTAGGATTGTCTTTGCGTCCCCCTCTCCCCCCAATGAAAGGATGTTAGCAACACGTGGAACTTTTCTCATTGCTTGTTTTTGTGTCCTTTTCTTGCAGGATCAATGTGACTTTGGAAACAAATGGATGAATGAATATCCATATGAAGAGGAAAACAATAAAGGTTGGTTAGTCAAACTGTACCACTGCATTGAAATCCTTTGTTGAACAGGACTTTGGGGCAGGTATTCTCATTAGAACACTTCCTTGTTGGAAGGTGAGACAGAGGTCAACACAGACACACACATCTGTCTGTAGAGTGTAATTTTATTTTTTTATTATTATTTTTTTAATTTTAGTCCTCACATGAGAATATTTTTCCACCGAAATAAGGGAAGGGGGGGGGGGTAGAGAGAGAAAGAGAGAGAAACATTGATGTGGGAGAGACACATGGATAGGCTGCCCCCACACTACCCCAACCAGGGCCAGGGATCAAACCCGCAACCCAGTTACATGCCCTTGACAGAATTGAAACTGCGACCCATTGGTCTACAGGCCGATGCTCCAACTGCTGAGCTAAACTCATGGCCAGGGCATAATTTTTATTTTTAATCCCTTAAATATAAAGAAACTTATGAGGAGGCCAACAGCTTTTGTATAAGTCTACCTGTCTTCAGTGTCCAGAACTTAAGTAGGTATTTTAAGAATCAACTTTTAGATGGAGAGTAGGAAATGGTAAACCAGTTGATACAGCTGATCATGGGGACAAAGACAAAATGTAGTGGGCAGGTTTTGTTTAATATTCATCACTTCCTACTACCCACACTGCATGATGTGTGATTGTTGGCACATGCTGTCCTTCAGACCCACGGTCTCGGCTGTCCTTAGAGAAGTAGGAAGATGATGAAAGAATTTTAACTTTGGTTTCTCACAGACAGCACCAGTATGAATTAGAGGAGGAAAAATCCTATGAATATCAACAGGAATCAGATGCCGGGCATCACTTTATTTGTGGTAGTTATTTGTGCTTTCCTTGTGCTCCATACTGATTTTTGATGTACAGATCACAGGGAATATTGTTACAGTATGTTAAGCCATCTTCATTTTATAAGGTTTATACACTGAACAGGTCTGGTATACATGTGGGTGCCTCACAACTCTTCCTTGGAGCTGCACAGCACATACAATTTTATACGTATTTTCCTTCCCCCAACTGCTCCTGCTATGTTTAAACAAAGGTACATCGTGCCATGTCTTTTCCTGGCAGCTTACTTTCACGTGATTTTCCAGGTGATATCTTTCCCTTAAAACTGCCTCCTTCCCTCCTCACTGCTAAAATTGCTCCTTTCTAGTCCATGCTTATATCTGGACAGGGTTCCGGCCTCTAGAGGGAGTATTGATTCAGAGGTGATACAAGGCAGACTTCTGGGTGTGATAGTAGTGTTCTTCTCCTGACCTCTGTGTTGCCTGTGTGGGTGCACTTTGTAGGAACTAATTGTACTTGGTACTATTTGTATGTAGATCAGCAGTGAGCTAGTGAAAGGGCTATAGGGCGGGGGCGGGGAAGCTTGATCTGTAGTGTTTGTCAGTTCCCATGGTGCAGAACCCCTACTACGGCTGATTTCAAAGGTATAACAACTAGCTTGTAACAGTCCTTAAAATTTAACAGCTGGCTCTCATGAGCTGGGGTCCAGCTAGCTTTATCTCGCACACCATTGAAAATTTCACATACAAACTAAAGCCAAACAATTTCTCATACTCCTTAAGACAACAGGGCAAAGGTAGTAAGTTTAAATATTCCTGGCTCATCGCTATGTAAATATGGAAACCTTCTTCATTCATTATCATGTAAAATGTATTTATATCTTTCTTTACATGTGGTGTTGATATGATAGTACTTTATGTTTTTGTTCGATTGCTATTAAATTTTTATGTTTGAATGGATTAGTGTTAGCTTTGTAAGTTTATACATTTTGACAATGTCATTGTTCTGTAACTAATTTTATGGTAACTAAAGATGATAGCAAAGAGAATCATTGTGTTACTACTTTCCCTGAGGATAAACTCTGAAAATATTTTCATGATTGACTATAATATACTATATGCGATGCATTCTGAATGATTGCACCTCATAGCTTATAATTCATGAGTTCATAAGTCTTTATAGAGGGAGAAGCAATGAGCATTTCACTGAATGTTCGTCCCAGTGAATTACTTTTTCTCTTGCTGTTTTTCAAATTTTTGCTCCATCCATATTCTTAATTATAGATGCCTTAGAACAGAGTACATTTGATGCTTGTTTTTAAGGCTGCTTGAATCAAGTACTGTTAGTTTTATCAACAAAGTCTGATTCTGGGAGAAAACTGCAGAGTTTGAAAATTTATCTTTTCTCTCTTTTTTTTTTTTTTTATCCTCACCCGAGGACATTTTTCCATTTTTTGTTCAGATAGAGTGGGAGGGAGAGAGAGGAAGAGAGAGAGAGAGAAACATCGATGTGAAGGGACACATCGAGTGGCTGCCACCCGCACGACCAACCAGGGCCGGGGACAAACTGCAACCAAGGTACGTGCCCTTAGCGGGAACCGAACCCGGGCCTCTCTGTACCACAGGCCGACGCTCCAACCGCTGAACCAAACTGGCCAGGGCTTGAAAATTTATCTTTTCTAAATATTTCAGTTATATCGACAAGGTCATTATTAAGATGAAGTTTTAAAAACTGTCCACAGTGGAAGCAGCATTGCCTCTGTCTACATAATTGAAAAGGGATTTGAATACGGCTCGTACAATTATTTTGTACATTTCCTGTTTGCCAGTGGTGATAAAATCTTGCCAAGAGTCACAGAATATCCTACTGTGCCTTTGTGCTTACATTTCAAAATTTAAACAGCCTAAATAGCATTTGCAAAATTTCTTTTGTGGCCTTACCAAGAGTCTTACTTCCAGGAACAGTCTTCATCTGCCCTTTCGTTAAAATATATATAGTACTTAATGTTTAGGTTTTCCCTTTTACTCAATTTCATTGCACTTGAATTTGTCCCTTTACCACCTGCCATTAAAAAACATCAAATAAATTCTAAACAGCTTCCAGACAGCCATTACTTCTTACTCACAAATATCTGCATAAAATCCGGTCTGTATGCGCTTAAATGCATTTCAGCAGTTGCTGTCGTGAAGGAGGTGGCTTGTTGGCGGGCCTGGCTCTCCTCCACTTATTCTCCAGCCGCTGCAGTGTGTGTACCAGGTGCTTCTCAGCAGCTGGTCCAGAGCAGGTGTCCAAAGCATACACAGATGTAGACATTTGTCCGTCTTATCAGAGTTCACATGAAAACTTCTGCTTTGTGACCACCTCTGATGAACAGCTGCTTCAACCATCCAGCATAGCAAGGGGTGACTTTTATTTCCTGTGTTTGGAATCTAAGAAGACAAGAGCAAGCCTTTTTTGAGAAAGCTTTAATTCCTTCCAATAAAAAAAAATGTGTTTTATAGTGAAGGACACGTATAGCGTGGTTCCTTTAAATTTCTTTTCCATATAGTGTGGTTACTTTGTATTTCTTTTCCATGAAGTGCCAGTTCTTTTTTCCTCACACAGGATAGAAGGGTGGTAATAGCAGCCATCCAGCCTTTCTTGCATTTTGAACGAAGCAGGCCCAGTTGCTCCGCAAGCCCCGTTGGCGGAAATGAAACACGTCGGCCAAGGTTTATGGAGAGGAGCTGCCTGGGCCGCAAGCGTGGAACCGAAACATGTTATCACAGCTCTGCAGTTCTCTCTGTATGGTCTTGGGCCAGTGACCTCTTTCTGAATTTTACTTTTATGCACTGCAAAGTGGAATGTATAATACCTGTCCTACCTACTTCAGGAGTTGTTATGGGGTGGAAGAACATCAGTGTATTTGTGGAAACAATTTAAAGTTGTGGAATTCTAGAGCTGTGTGTGGCATGGGTACTCTTATTTTTATAGCCGAAGACAGAGGTTGACGACTTTGTTGTCAGCCTGGACATCACAAAGTCAAGCATTTTCAGAACGGGAGGCGCCCTCAGAGATGTGGTGACCTTCCTCAAGGGTTGGGTGCTTTCGTTTTCTGCTGAGGACTCTGGAATTTTCCTGCTCCGTGTGGCAGTTCGTCCTGTTTCCAGGCACATGAAATTATATTAAAAGTTCTTCCTCTTATTGAGCCAAATAAATAGATTTGATAATGATGTGCATTCAGTGGGCATATCATATTTTTATTAATATATCATCCTGGATTAGGTCACTCTTCTGTCAAGTCAGTTTCCCTTTGGGTGTCTCATTGCTCTGATCGGGGAAATTAGAACAAAATGATATGCAGGGAGTTGAGAAGGATTATGCAATTATTGAAGGAGAATAATGGCTTCATTATTTGAAAAGATGATGCATTGCTCATTTTAAAAACATTAAAGCAGACCAAGCCCTGTCGCTCCCCCGCCTCACACCTATCAACACTGGGTGAGCATTATTTATAGCATCTCTGTGTGCATATATTCGTAAATAGAGGCCGTTTTACAAAAATTAGATTAAATTTATACTTTCTAAAGCAGAGTTACTTTTTTTCACTTTGCTTCCAATATAATGGAAAAAATAGAAACTGAATTTAAAATGAAGGAATTTGTTAATTTCTGGTTGATGTCCTTTCACCAAAGTGATGCTGTTACTTAAGAGTCAAGGGGAACTAAAACCCAGCTCTTTGAGTTCTGGTTATTCTGCTTTTGTAAGTGACTGAGTTTTACTTTAAACAGCATCTTTTGACTTTTTGCTAAGAAAGTTGGGAAAATTGATGGTATTTCTTTCTAATTACCTTTCCCTCTTCTTGTTTTACTACCTTTTTAAAATTGAGACTATTATCCATTATCTCTGATTTTTAATCATAATTATGAGAGCTATTTCATCTTATTTTTCTCAGAAATATGGAAACAGGCCTTTCCTGTCATCTGGCGTTTTGTGTTACTGTGAAGGCGGACGCCACCTGATTGTTCACGTGTTCTTTCTTTTTTAAATATGTTTTTATGGATTTTTTAGGGCGAGAGAGATAGAAACATTGATCGATCAGCTGCCTCTTGCATGCCCCCTACTGGGGAACAAGCCGGCAACCTGCACTGGAAATCGAACTGGACCTCTCAGTCCCTGGGAGGATGCGCAATCCATCGAGCCACACCGGCCGGGCTGCT